AGGCAGGGTTGACACCTCCTGTTTCCAGGTGAGGGGAGTGAGATTGAGTGACTTGCCTCATGCCCCACAGCTGGGCAGTAGCAGGTGGCCACTCCCAGACCTGGCCTTGACCACTGGACTCTACTGCATCCTGTATCTACTGTATCCAGACCTCAGTAGCTCTCCACTGCCTTCCAGGGTAAGCCTGAATTTCTGGCATTCTCTCAGGCATTCCCGTCTGATCTTCAGCCGGTGGTTTTAAAATATGTCCATGAAGCCAGGCCGGTGTGGCTAAGTGGTTAAGCATTGACCTATGAACCAGGAGGTCACAGTTCGTTTCTGGGTCAGGGCACATGCGCGGGTTGTGGGCTCAATCCCTAGTGTGGGGCATGCAGGAGGCAGCTGGTCAATGATACTCTCTCATCATTGATGTTTCTGTCTCTCTTGCCCTCTCCCTTTCTCTCTGAAATCAGTAAAAATATATTGAAAAAATAAAATATGTCCATGAACATTGTTAATGCTACGTGAGATCATACCATGTAATCTTACTTATATGTGGAATCTGATGAACAAAATAAACTGATGAATAAAATAGAACCAGAGGCATGGATACATGGAGCAGACTGACAGGTGTTGGGGGGTGGGGGGCAGCGGGAAGGGGTCGGTCAGGGAGGGGACTGCATGATAGAAGGTGAAGGGATTAGCTGACATCCATATTGGAACCACCTGAGAAACCCTGGGCTGGAACTACACAACTAAGCCACTTCAGAAGTCCTGACCCACAGAAATTGTTTTGAGTCACTAAGTTTTGGAGTAATTTGTTACACAGCAATAGAGAACTAATACACTTGACCTCTCAGCCTGAAGTGCTTTATGCCCCTGAGCCACTGGCCATCTGTAAAATAACCCTGGGTACTTTGTCTCGTAAGTAAGATCAAGTACCCTGGAAACGGGGCCCTTGCCTAGTATTTCCAGCGTCCAGTGCATGCTTTGCAGGGGCTTCTCAGGTGAGGTTAACTGATGAACCCATACAAGGGCATTGTCTAAGAATCCACCTAAAGTATTGTTTGACTGCCAGTTGGCACGGAAGACAGAGTGAGTGGAATTTGGGGGTGATTCAGGAGAGCCCCGTAGTCTATAACACACCAAGCCAAGGTTAGACCTGGACACGAGTTGGCCTGAATCCAGGGACTTCCTTTGGGCACCAAAGGCTGCCCTTGTGTCCCTGAACACACCCTGTCATGAAAGTGGCGGAAGGGCCTATAGCAGGAGGTGGGGGCAGCAAAAAGGAAAAATTCATCCTTAACCTGTAATTCATTTCGGCATGTATCCTTCAAGATCTATTTCTCTGGATGACTCGTGTATATTTACATGCAAATATATCTATATCTATTATCCACGTATCTATATATCCATGAATCTATCTATCTCTATCTATCCATCCATCCAAATAGGTCTTTTTTACACTTAATTTTAAAAAATGGGATCATGCTCTAGACCAGTGATGGCGAACCTTTTGAGCTCGGCGTGTCAGCATTTTGAAAAACCCTAACTTAACTCTGGTGCCGTGTCACAGATAGAAATTTTTTGATATTTGCAACCATAGTAAAACAAAGACTTATATTTTTGATATTTATTGTATATATTTAAATGCCATTTAACAAAGAAATATCAACCAAAACAATGAGTTCGCGTGTCACCTTTGACACGCGTGTCATAGGTTCGCTATCACTGCTCTAGGCTATTTTTTTCACTTAACCACGTGTTATAAATATCTGTGCTAACAGAGTCAGTGCCGATCTCCTCTAATAGTATTTGGTTGTATGAGCTTAAACCCATGCAGTGGTTATTCTTTCCCTCACTGGCGGATATTTTGGCTGTTTGTGCTTTTTTGCCTGTAAACAATGCTGTGACAGATATTCTTGTACACACATCCTTGTGTAGGTGCTCAGATATTGCTGTCGAGTACATTCCTATAGGGGGTTTATTGGACCAAAATATGCGAACATTCTAAAGGCCTTGGGCACACAGTGCCCGATCGCCCTTCAGAAAGGTTGTGCCAGGTGCACATGTACCTATTGCCCCTGTGTCCTTAGCTCCACATCCTGGCCAGCACTGGGTTTTCTCTTTAATGTTGGCCAATCTGATAGATGAAAGATGTTATCTTAATTTCTTTCATAACCAGGAAGGTTGGGCATGTTCCTTGTGTTTATTGGTCATTTTATCTTTCTCCTTGAGCAAATTGTTCATGTCCTTTGCACGTTTTTTTGTTTCCCTTACAAAACCAGTACTTTATTCCTTTTTATGGCTAAATACGATTCCACGTATGGATCTGCTGTAATTGTATAATCATGAGTTGGTGGACGTTTGGGTTGTTTCCACTTGTTGGATAGTATGAATATTGCTGCTGGGAACATTGGTGTACAAGTTTCGTGTAGACATACATTTTTATTTTTCTTGGGGGTATACGCCCAGGAGTGGAGTTGCTAGGTCAAATGGTGAATCTTGCTTAACTTTTTGAGGAACTGCCAAACTGTTTTCCACAGAGGCTGTACCATTTTATATTCCCACCAACAGTATACGAGGGCTCTAGTTTCCCTTCATTCTTGCCGATACTTGTTATTGTCTTTTTGGTGACAGCCATTCCAATGGGTGTGAAGTGGTCTCTCATTGTGGTTTTGTTTCGTATTTCCCAATGATTGATGATGTTGAGCATCTCTGCATGTTCTTGTTGTCTATTTGTGTCACTTCCTTGGAGAAATATATCACTTCCTTGGAGAAATATATTCTAGATACAAATCTCTTATCAGACATATGATTTGCAAGTACTTTCTCCTGTTCTGTGGATTGTCCATTGAAGCACACACACTCTTAATTTTGGTGAGGTCTAACTTGTTGTTCTTTTTAAAAACAATGAGGCTGTACCATTTTATATTCCCACCAACAGTATACGAGGGCTCTAATTTCCCTTCATTCTTGCCGATACTTGTTATTGTCTTTTTGGTGACAGCCATTCCAATGGGTGTGAAGTGGTCTCTCATTGTGGTTTTGTTTCGTATTTCCCAATGATTGATGATGTTGAGCATCTCTGCATGTTCTTGTTGTCTATTTGTATCACTTCCTTGGAGAAATATATTCTAGATACAAATCTCTTATCAGACATATGATTTGCAAGTACTTTCTCCTGTTCTGTGGATTGTCCATTGAAGCACACACACTCTTAATTTTGGTGAGGTCTAACTTGTTGTTCTTTTTAAAAACAATGTATATGCACAGGTGGGGTTTTCAAACCCTGCAACCTGAACTGCTGGCGGGTCAGAGACACTCTGCCTGGTCAGGTCATTGTCTTTTTGGTTACAGCCATTCCAGTGGGTGTGAAGTGGTCTCTCATTGTGGTTTTGTTTCGTATTTCCCAATGATTGATGATGTTGAGCATCTCTGCATGTTCTTGTTGTCTATTTGTGTCACTTCCTTGGAGAAATATAGTCTAGATACAAATCTCTTATCAGACATATGACTTGCAAATACTTTCTCCTGTTCTGTAGATTGTCCATTGAAGCACACACACTCTTAATTTTGGTGAGGTCTAACTTGTTGTTCTTTTTAAAAACAATGTATATGCACAGGTGGGGTTTTCAAACCCTGCAACCTGAACTGCTGGCGGGTCAGAGACACTCTGCCTGGTCAGGTCAGCTTCGGCCTGGGAGAGGCCAGCTGGAGCCTGCCGCAGGGCTGGGTCTCCCCGGGTGACTTCACAAGGGTCCCTCCCATGGCGGTTCTCTCCTGAGGACTCAGGGCAGCCGGGCTCCAGGTGGCTCTGGCCGTTGGTGCCTGCAGAGGGAGGGAGAGCGTTTGGATGCTCTAGCTCTGCATAGAGAAGTGACAAGGGCACACTTGGTCCTCCTCATCTCTGCTTTCTGTTCTTCCCTATCTCTCTGGGTGCGCAGATGTGGGCAGTGGTGTTCAGACAAGAAAGTGGGGCTGTTTCCACAGAATGGGAAGTGGGGAAACCCATGTTTATTTTGTTAGGATAGAGCTTTCAGCCCCTCACACCTTCATCCCACTCCCTCCTTCTCCTTTTTGTCTCACCTGGAGTTTATAAAGGTCGTACCCAAGTAGGATAATGATTTGGACTCACGTAGTTTGAGATTTTTAAAACAGCCCACCCAGGCCCCCGGAGGTCGCTGTTCAGTGGCTCCAGGCACCGGGCAGCCACTGGCAGAGACGGCATAGCCAGGGCCCAGGCCTCACCGCTGCCCTGGCCAGAGTGGCTCTGCTTCTATTACCTTTAAAAAAAAATCCTCACCCAAGAAGTGAAGATATTTTTTCTATTGATTTTTATAGAGAAAGTGGAAGGGGCGGGAAGCAGGGGGGAGGTGGGAGAGAAAAACATTCATGTGAGTTCATGTGAGAGAGACACATCAATTGGTTGCTTCCTGCACATACCCTCGCGCGGTGCGGGAATCGAACCTGCAACCCAGGTGTGATGTGCCTTTGACCGGAGTTGAACCTGAGACCCTCTGGTGTGCAGGCCAGTGCTCTAACCATTGAGCACCTTTATTTCTCTTCTGTATTAGAGTTCTAAGTGAGATTTTGTATGAGGAGATGGAAGGGCTGAATTGGCAAAGCAGTTGGAAAACTGCTCATGGTGGACACCTTGCCCCCACTGTTGGGTTGAAAACACCCCAAACATGAATTCTGCTGGAGGCCACTCCCATGATACTCTGGGGAACTCAGATTTTCCCAGAGGACCCCACGCTCCTCTCTGTTGACAGACGGAGTGGCTGCTCTCCCTGTGGCACTTGCCAGCCCCCGTGTTTAATTTTTTCTCTTGTTGCATGGGGTGTTCTGGCCCTGCAGCTCTGCGAAGGCAAAAATCAAATTATCTTCTGTCTTGATCCAAATACGTTTTGTCTCCGGGAAAGCCCTGGGCTAGGGAAGCTTTTAGACGGTGAGGCGGTTTTCTCAGCAGACCTCCCGGCGGACACCCCACCTTTCTCTCCCCTCTTTGTGTCTTTCAGTCGGCGGAGTTCTTCGAGATGCTGGAGAAAATGCAGGTGAGCATCCATCCCCTGAACCCTGGGTAGGGGGGGGGCGTGCTGCAACGACCTCGGGGGACACAACACCAGGCAGAACCCACGGGCAGAACGTGGGCACCTTGGAGGGAGGGGCAGAGAAGAGAGAACTCACCGTCCCCATGGCCTGGACAACCCGAGGCCATTTCCACACCGAGTGGCACAGTGGCTTCTGGGACGGCTCCTGCCTGAAGACCAGGGAGAAGATAAAAAACAGAAACCCCAGCAGAGCGGATGGACGGGCTGCCATCAGCCCCACGGGTGTGGGGAGCGTCTGAGAGATGTTCCTGGGATGGGCTGGAAAGAAAGCCTCAAAAAGACAGCCCCTTCGTGGGGGCCTCATCCTGTGCTGGGAGGCAGAGCGGAGGCCGAGAGACAGACCTGAGTTCAAACTCTGCATCTAACGCTGGCTTGCCAAACTCCTCCCCTTTCTAACCTCTCGCTCCTGTTTTTTGTTTACTAACAGACGTGTTCCCCCCTCACTCTGACACCAAGCGTGTGGTGTGTTCCCCCCACCAGACGATCTGTGCAGCCAGCTGGGCTCCACGCCGTTCTGACGCTGTCTCCCTGGAGGTGGGGTCAGCTCCCACAGGGCACGGGCACTGCCCCAGGGGCTGCCTCCACTCAAATGCCAGTCGCAAGTCCAGGTTGCCACTTGGGCTTCTGACCCTCCGGCTATAAATAGGAGGTGCCCATGACCCCCTTTTCCAGTTCAATTAATTTGCTAGAGTGCCTCACAGAACCCAGGGAAACGGTTTACTTATCAGATTGCCAGTTTATGATAAGGACACAACTCAGGAACCGCAGCTGGAAGAGAGGCATAGGGCAAGGCCTGTGGGAAGGGCCTGGAGCGGCCGTGCTCTCTGAATGCCCCACTCTCCCCAAACCTCCACGGGCCCACCAACCCCAGACGCTCCCAAACCCCACCCTTTTGGGTTTTATGGAGGCTACGTTAGGCATGATGGACACAATCACTGGCTGTGGGGGATGGTCTCAACCTCCAGCTTCTCTCCCCTCCCCCAAGAGTGGGAGTGGTGGTGGGTTCCCTTGTCAGTCAGCTCCCATCCTTCGGAAAGTCCCAGAAGACACCTCATTAACATAAACTCACTGACACAAACTCCTGGGGAACACTCCTTTCGTCGTTATGGCTGTGGAGCTGTTGCAGGAACCAAGGACGAAAAACCAAATCCTAGAACAAAACTTCTCTCGTTGCTCTTATCACTTGGGAAATTCCAAGGGTTTTAGGAGTTCTGTGCTAGGAGCAGGGTAACGACCAAAATATGTATTTCTTACAACAAATCACTATCACAGCCTCTATAGAGATAGGAGAATGAAAGTGTCCACTTGCATCGTTTCTGGGATGAAATGAGACAATTTTTGTAAATACTTGGTGGGCAGTGCATAGAATCAGTGTGTAGTGTGGGGCCCTTGTAATTGCTCATCACCCAGGGGTCAGGCTCTCAGGTAAGACCCGCTGCCTTAAGGAATACGGGGAGAGGTCCGGAAGGTATAATTGATCCAGGTGGAAAGAGGGGCAAGAACATACTGATACGTATATTTTAAGCACTGGTCTGGGGTGAGAGGTTGACAGGTGTTATCTCATTTCTTCATGACAAGGCCCCCAGGAGGCAGGTATGTTATTATCATCATCATCATCATTCCCATTTCACAGGTGAGAAAACTGAGGCACAGAGATATTAAATAAAACACTCAAGGGCTCATGGCTAGCAAGTAGCTCCAGAGCCAGAAGGCATGGTCATTATGTCATGCTTCTTACCTGAAGTAGATGCTCCAGGCGCGAGGAAGGAAGGATCTATAGGAATGGTCTGGAATGGGAGGAAAGGCACCCAGGGTGCCCACTGCCGTCCTGAGATGCAGGCGGAGCTTCTGAGAGGGCTGCTGCTGTGAGCGGGCCAGGCCCTCCCCGGAAAGCAGGTCTCCCTAAGGATGGGGAAGGGGAGGGTTGGTTTTAGAGAAAAATATTTGTAGTGGTTGTGTCATTATCACAAGCAAGTTATTAAGATCCTCCTCTGTGCCCAGCAGAGTGTGGACGGCCAGCTAACTTAATATGTATTTATACGCATGTAGGGGACTTACAACCAGGTGGTGGGCATGGAGATGGTAGGTGCCCTGACAGCGAGTGCCTATACAACGGAGCGCTCTGTCCGCTGGAGGAAAGCCGGGTCTCACCCAAGCCCGCGGAGTCGTGGCAGTCTGGGCAGCTGGCAGGGCGTCTGCAGCGCACCCTGCCTCCTCTCTGGTTTCTCCACGACCACCCACCCCTCGCCCCCAGGAGCACATGATTCGGCCCTGCGTAACCGGCCTTGTGCCGTTCTGTTGTTTGGAGGCCGCGGGCTTGACTTGGCTCGATCGGGAGCCTCTGCAGGGCGGGAGTCTGACTGTGGCTCCCTCTGTCTTCACCGCAGCCCACACCAGGGGCAGCTGCCGACTCCGTGTCAGTAGAGATTTTGGGGGTCAGATCAGGCTTCAGTGTTTAGGTCCCTACCATGTGCCCCTGGGCCCCAGCCTCTGAGAGGCGGGGGTTTCCAGCTCCTCTGTATGTGGGAAACTCAATGGGGGTTCTGTCCCTGAGTGTGGGTGCCATCTGGCCTCACGCCGCAGTGTGGGGCCTGAAGCTCTGCAGGCAGGCGCCAGGGCCCCCTGTGACCCAGGACTCCTGACCCCAGTGCTAGAGGCTGGGAATTTGAAGATGGGCACAGGTTCTGTGTAGCACAGTTTTGGGTCCCTTCCTTTCTGGGTTCAAGTTCTAACGCTGACAGGCCGAAGCGGAGTGACCTTGGTCAAGCCATTCGACCCTCCTGAGTCCCAGTTTTTTATGGCTGGGAAGAGAGATAATGAGGGGAGAGGGCCCAGTGCTGGCAGTGGTTCTGTCATGGTGGAGGGGAGGGGACAGGAGGAGGTTTGTTCTCCGGCCCAGGGGCTGTTCCCAGGCTGGGATGACTCATGCAGGACAAACAAAACAAACTTCTGACGTCAGGCCCTTCCCCACCCGCCCAGTTTGCCTCCCTGGACAGGGTCTGCAGGCCACCCAGGTGGTTTCTTCCCTGTGTGGGGAGAGGAGCACCTGCCCAGGGGGAGGGGCCCCCACGCCCACCTGACCAGGGCCGCAGGTGACTCAGCCTGGAGAGGTGGGAGGAGCCTCTAGTCTGCCCCATGAGCAGGAACCCTGAGCCCGAGGGCTCCGTGACTGGGCCATGCACTTGGTGGACAGATGGCCCGGCTTCAGAGCCAGGCCCTTCCATGCACTAATTGAGTGACAGTTTCCTCCCTGGACCTCGGTTTCCTCTTTGGTAAAAAGGTGCTGAGGGCTTCCGAGGGGACGATAGGGGGAGTGCGCTGTGGAAGGTTCAAGTCCCCGGTCTTACGTGATGACGAGGCAGCAGCTGCTTCCGGACTCTCTTCTCTCCGAGTTGTCCCACCGATGGTGTGGATTGATTCGCGTGCCTGTGGGAACGCCATGTGCTCTCCTCCCACGACACCCAGTTAAGTGGGAACTTGACTGTAGGGCTAAAGGTCTAGGGTCTAGGTCTAGGCACTGTCCCCGCAGCGAGTCTTCCTGATGCTGCAGGGGAGCCGGTTAACCCAGGCCCCGCCCCCTGTGGTGTCCGCTCCTTGCAGGGACACATCTGTGAGGGGGAGGGCGGGTGTTAGAATCCTCATTTCACAGAGGAAACGAGGAGTGCTGCAGAAGGCTTAGCATTGTGAAGCGTCACTAATAGCAGGAGAGTGGCAGAATGAGGACCAGGCGCAGGCCACCTGCCTGCCACCCATGGGCCCTCTCACCAGGGAGGGGGTGGTGCTGGTGTGGCATGAGACCCAGAGTGTGGCTCTGACCCCCACAGACACGGGTTCCCTTTCCGCCCCTCACCTCATCCTCTGGGAGACCGGGGGCGATATTTCAACACCATGACGATGATACTGCCTACCCCGGGATAGCAATACGTCATAGCCTTTACTGTATGCCGGTCATTCTTCCACGGGCTTAACATGTTATCCACATTTTACCTTCACCACCATAGTAGGTGCCCTTACTGTTCCCATTTTACAGCTGGGAACACTGAGCCACAGAGAGGTTTTGTGACTTGCCCAAGGTCGTAAGTGACAGTGTTTGTGATTTGAACCCTGGTGATCTGGCTGAGTCCATGCCCTTCACCCCCTGCCCTGCTGCCTCGTCTGGGCTGCTGTGAGGTCTGCGTGTGCTAAGGTGTGTGACTTGCAAGGGCCCAGCATGTGGCAGCCCTTTGCTGTTATTACCACTGACCCCCAGCTAAGGCAGGTGCTCCCAAGGGTCTGCTTCCTCCGTGCCGTCTCTATTTTGTGGCTCTTGCTTTTCCATGGATCCTCTTTTCCTTGTTTCTGCAGGGGATCAAGCTTGAAGAGCAGAAGCCGGGACCCCAGAAGAACAAGGTGGGCTGGGTGGGTGAGCTGGCAGCCAGGTGGGCCCCGTGAGGGGGCCAGGTGAGAGGAAGGCAGGGGCAGCGGCCAGCATGCTGGGGCCAGCTGTCTCACACCATCTAACTCTGATTTTCACGTTGTTGACCAGGGCATGGTGAGCAGGAAGGCAGGCCTTGGCTGAGGCCTTTAGGCACCTTCAGAGCAGGCTGGGGTGGAGGCCTCGGGAAGACCTGAGGCTTGCGGTGTGGCCTGGCTCCCGCACACCTGCTCCTGGGAGCGAACCACACACACAGTGTGTCGGGGTGTCAGGCTCCGCTCCAGGCTCCAGCAGGCAGTCAGCTCTCAGCTTCAGGTTCTGTTCCCAAGGCCCAGGAGGGCCGCTTATCACCTGGAGGTCAGCCCCCTTGCCTGGGGGGGGACCAGGGCCATCCCGCTGTTGGAGCCTCCTGGGAGAGCAGCTCGTGTCGGGATGCGTGTGAGGTCCAGCGCCTTGTGTCCTGTGTCTTCCTTCCTCTGCACTGCATCTTCCGCTGGCCCCTTTGCACTCAGGTTCTGTCAGTTCGGGGACGAACTCGAGAGAAGCCAGAGCCCAAGCTGCCTGTAGGCTGTTCACCCACCTTGGTGCAGCCTGCCAGCCCTAATGCCTGGGGGAGGGAAGGGAAATGGTGACCAAACTTCACGGGCCTGGCCGTGCTGGGACTGATGGAGGCATGGTGTGTTTGTCTTGCAGGACGACTATATCCCGTACCCCAGCATCGACGAGGTAGGAGCCCCCTGGATTCTGTCTTGGGGGCAAAGCCCGGGGAGCTGATGGCGATGATGGTGATGGTCCCTCTGCCTCCCCCCCCTCCCCCATGGTGGGGAGAGCCTTGGGACTTGAGGGCCTGAGACCTTTCCCGTTTGTGACGTCAGCTTTAAAAAAAAAAATCAGGAGGGCCGAAGTTGGAGATATTGTGGGTCCTGGAGGAGGGGTTCATGCTACTGCCTTTGGATTCCTATATGGGGATCCCCTCTGTGGGAGTAGCTCAGAGGTGGGGGGGATACCACCATTGGCGCCCCTCCACTCCCCCGCAGACCAGGGCAGGCTGCAGGGCAAGACTCTCCCTTTGCCTCCAGGTTGTGGAGAAGGGAGGCCCGTACCCCCTGATCGTCCTGCCCCAGTTTGGGGGCTACTGGATCGAGGACCCGGAGAACGTGGGCACGCCCACCTCGCTGGGCAGCAGCATCTGTGAGGAGGAGGAAGAGGACAGCTTCAGCCCCAGCACCTTTGGCTACAAGCTCGAGTGCAAGAGTGAAGCCAGGGCCTACCGCAGGCACTTCCTGGGCAAGGTGAGGCCAGGCCCTGGTGAAAGCGGCTGCCGGGGGGGTCGGCCTGGGGAACCCAGCGTCTCTCCCCAGTGCCCCCTCTCTGCCCTACCCCTCCCTCGCCGCCTGCCTCTGTCCTCCTTGGAGAGGTCTGCCTGGCTCTGATCCTGGGCAGGGGGCAGGGGTGTGCAGGAGCCCAGGGGGCCCAGTGTGATGGGTCCTTGTGGGGACCGCCCCCAGCAGATGTTCTAGGAGGCGATGGACTAGGTAGTGTTTGGGGGGTGGAAGGAGAAAATACATTCTCACTCCTTGGAAGTCTCTGTGTCCATGTAAATAGTACGAATCTCTCATGGCCTCACTCAGCCAGGTCCCCCGTGCTTGTGCCGGGATGTGCTCTGAGCCTCTGACTGCTTAACCGGGACAGGTCCGTTTCTTTTCACACATCCCGCCCTTCAGCCTTGCCCGGTTCCGGAAGTCCCGAGGGCAGGCTCCCGGAGTCTCCAGCCCGCCAGCTTTGCTGAGTCTCTGGGGGAGGAGATGGATCAGGATCCCCCTGTCACCCCGCCTTGTTAGAATGCAGATCCAGGCCCCGCCCTAATACAGCAGGCTGGGTGCGCCCCCTGAGCCGGGGTGAGACCCACTGTGAGATCTCCCGGCTCCGCTTGGTGGAGGTGCCAGGCCCTGCCCCTTCTTCATGCTCACAAATTGCATGAAGCTGCAGGGGCTGCTCCCTGGGATGAGGAGTGGACTCAGTGTCTTGTGGGGAAGCACTTGAGCTGCGGTCGAGGCGTGTGTGGGTTTGAATCCTGGATCTGCCGCCTTCTAGCTGTGTGACCCTGGAGAGTGACTTAACCTGCCTGCACATGTTTTCTCCATCCGACATGGGAGCTGCCCCCATAAAGTTGTGGTCTGGGTTAAAGGAGATAATGGGTACTAAGCAATTAGCCGAGTGCCTGGCACAGACAGCCTGAAGATTTGGTCATCATTTACTCTCCTCCTCCTCCTCCCTCTCCTCCTCTTCCCCCTCCCCCTCCTCTTTGTCCCTCTTCTCCTCCTCCCTCTTCTCCTTTTCCTCCCCATCTATAGCAGCCACAGCTGGCGCATCCTGGTCTTCCTCCTTGCTGTGGGGCTTCTCACTCCTGGGGAAGGAGGTGATTTTGGGGGCTGTGCCTGGAAGGCCCCCTCTTCCCTGCTAACACTTTATTTCTGCTTCTAGGATCATCTAAACTTTTACTGCACCGGTAGCAGTTTGGGGAACCTGCTCCTGTCCATCAAGTGCGAGGAGGTGGAGGGCATTGAGTACCTTCGGATTATTCTCAGGTGGGGCTGCGGCATGGTTGGAGACCACACCCCTAGTGGTGGGGACCCAGAAATACCAGTCAGACCAGTCCTGTGTGTGTTTTTGTGGGGGGGTGGGGTGGAGGGATGGAGGTGGGGATGTGGAGATAGACCGGCCTATGTTCTATGTTTGGGTTGCCAGGCAGGAAGACCAGGTGTTTTGCCAGCTGACTGATTGTGGGAGTTGGAGTGGCATCCTGGTCTCAAGGTCACGTAGACCTTACCCTCACCTGCCTGTCTCTGGCTGTGAGGGAGACGGAGCGGAAAAATAGCGACAGCTCATTTTGCAGAGCCACAGTTCCACGTGGTCCTGTAGAGGGTTTGCCGGAACCCTGCCCATGGCACACATCCAGTTGGGAACTATAGACCCCAAAGCGTCCGCGTGCATGCTGGGTCCTCAGGATGTGGTGGTGGCCACAACAGGAGCACCGATTTACAGCTAAGCAGGGACCTCTCTGGAACCGGCTTCCGTTCGGTTTGACTAACATGTCCCGTGGAACCGCCTTTGTACCAGGAACTGTGATAGGGGCTTGGGCTGCAATGGTGACTGAGCGGCGGTCCCTCCTCTCCAGAGGGAGAGAAGAAGGGGATTTCACTGTGTGACGCAGGTGCTGTTTCAGTGACAGGCACAGGGTGCTGTGGAGCCCAGAGTTCGTCTCATTCCTCTCTGTCCCTGGGCCAGTGGGGAAGCCAGAACGGCCAGTGCGAAGGCCGAGGCCGGTGCTTGGCAGGGAGCTGTGAACCGTCAGGCTCCCGATCCCTACTTGTTGAATTAAATTGGAAGTCCTTGAAGGAAACGAACAATAACATTTGAAAAGAGCAATAACATTTTTTTTTCTGCCCAAATTTTGAGATAAATATGGGAGAGGACAGGGACACGGAGCCCTGCGATGGGAGAGGTGGGGCGGTACCGGGAAGTTGTTAGCAAAAATCAAAGGAGAGCATCCAGCCGGTCCATTGATGCTGCGGCAGAGAAGCTGGGGGAGACGTGGAGGTGCTGCTGCAGGCGGCCAGCCGCCCGCGGAAAGGAAGGCCACTGAGCTGAAGGCTACTGCTGCGTCCCCAGCTAGAGGAGAGCCCGATGCGGCAAGAAGGGAGTCATCAGGGCTGAAAAAGAAGAAAAAGAAGGAGAGGATGATGAGGAGGAAGAAGATGAAGATGATGAAGAGGCTGGTTCTAGCACAATTTTTTTTCTTGTCTATAAAGCATTTAATCTCCTGCACACAACTCACTCCTTTTAAAGAAAAAAGTTGAGAAGGAAGGCGGTGGAAGATTTGTTTTTAAACTGCACAGTGTCTTTTTTTGTATAGTTAACACACTACTGAATGTATCTTTAGATAGCCCTGCCCTGGTGCTATTTCCTTTCTTTCTTTTCTAAAATATGTTTTTATTGATTTTAGAGTGAGAGGAAGGGAGAGGGGGAGAGAGAGAGAGAGAGGAGAGAGAAACATTGATTGGCTGTCTCCTGCATGTCCTCTACTGGACTATTGGGGATTGAGCCTGGGCATGTGTTTTGACTGGGAACTCTTGCTACACGGGACAATGTACAACCAACTGAGCCAATTGAGCCAGTAACCTGGGCATGTGTTTTGACTGGGACCTCTCGCTACACGGGACAATGTACAACCAACTGAGCCAAGCCAGCCAATAAAGAAGGAATATGCTAATTGACTGCCACGCCCTCAAAGATGGCGGCACCCACAGCCTCAAGATGGTGGTGCCCTGTCCCCTCAGCCCCACAGCTTCCCAGGGCTGCCCAAGGCTCAGGTAACCAGGGACGGCCGAGCTTGCGCTGTCGGCAGTGGCAGCAGCAGAGGTGTGATGGGGGCATCACCTTCCCCTGTTTGCCAGGTTGCCTCCCGCCCCTGAGGGCTCCCGGACTGTGAGAGGGGGCAGGCCGGGTTGAGGGACCCCCCTCCAGTACATGAATTTTCATGCACTGGGCCTCTAGTATATATATAATGATTAAAATATGCAGAAATTCACAGAATACAATGATAGTGGTAGATGAAAACACACTTCTTATCACTTACAGCTCAACACAACTTATCACTTACAGATAGGAAATGAGAGGATTTGGATAATCTCAGTGTTATTTATGTGAATTATATATATTGGTCTTTATTTGTATCTATCTGTATTTAACTATCAAACTTTGACCCTCTAACAGAGATTTCTGCTGCTTTTCAAGTGCCTGTGGAATGTCTACACATTGATTGTAAGGAGATCAGTGGTTTTCTGAGAATGTGCTCCAACAGTCATCTTGGAGCAGAGCGAAAACCAAAAAACAAAACTCAAACTTCTAGGCGCTGACTATTTAAAAGATAATAAAGCCCAGCCAGGGTGGTTCAGTGGTTGAGGATTGATCCATGCACTGAGAGGTCCCTGGTTCGAGTCCCGGCCAGGGCTCATGCCTGGGTTGCGGGCTCGATCCCAGTAGGGAACGTGCAGGGGTCAGCTGAGTGTTTCCATCTCTTTATCCCTCTGCCAACGTGCAGGGGGCAGCTGAGTGTTTCCATCTCTTTATCCCTCTGCCTGCCTCTCTCTTTCAAAAAAAACAAAACAAAACAAAAAACCAAACACATGTTTTTTTAAAAAATGACAATAAAAATTTAAACATGCACATACATATATATTTGAATATAAATATGTAAGATACATAAATACATAAGTAATAATATATATCCCTATTCCTTTTTTATTTCTAGAATTCTATAGAACATTGTTCTGTGACTTCTCTTAACAATATATCTAGAGTTCTTTCTATATTAGTACATGGAGAAGTTAGCTTGTTAATTCCTTGTACTGCTGCATAGTATTCCATTATATGGACATGAAATAATTTACTTAATAGATCCCCTATTAATGGCTATTGTCAGTATTTTGGTATCACAAATAATGCTGCAATGAGTAACCTGGTACAAATTGTATGGTTTAAAATAATTTCTCAGAAGTGAGTTGGCTGGGTCAGAACATAAATGCATTAGTGTTTTAATAGAGATTGCCAACTAGCCTTCTGGAGGAGGTCTGTAAACTTGAACCATTACCAGTAATGTATCAGAGTACTTATTTTTCCAAAGCCTCTCCAACAGAATATTTTGTCAAGCACTTGGATTTTTGGCAATCTGATAGGCAAAAATAATATGTTAGTGTAGCTTAAATTTACAATAACTTTGCTGAATTATGTTGGGCATCTCTTCATATATTTAAGGAACACATGTATTTATTTTCTGTACAGTGTGTTTATAACCTTTGCTTCTTTTTAAAATTGAATTGTTAGTCCAAATTTCTACTTTTAAAAATCTTGCAGATAATTCTTGCTAGCATGTGGATTTAGGAACCAATCTCTTGTGGCACAAAGTAAATCTGTATAAATTTCAAAAAGCAGATACTTTGCCAAACATATTTGCTTTTATAATTTCATACATTGTAGCTACTCAATAATGGTCTCTGCTGTTATTATCAATATTATTATCTAAAGGGAATAAGAGGAAGGAATTAAGAAAGATTAAGGCCAACAAATAAATTAGAAATAAAATGAGCGCAAGACCTGACGTATAAATCTAGGCTACAGATTTATATGTAGTGTAGAAAAAGATATACTTCATTTGGAAGAAAAAAAAAACAACAAAATAGGTAACTAGCTAGTCAAATATAGATAAACATAAAATAAAAACCTACAAAATTAGGCATTAGGAAAGGCATATAACCACAGATGTGAAGAAGATTAAAAAATTACTAATGGAGGTTATATTCAATCCACATTATTATACTGGGAATTTTATTTGAAACAGATGCCTTTCTAGGAAAGCATGCTAATTTAACACGAGATTAAAAACCCGATGTAATAAGTGGAAAAGTTTGCAAAAAATTCTCTCTCCAAAAGTTTCTAGGTCCGGATGGTTTGCAGGTAGTTATTTTAAGCTCACAAGGAACAGATTTCTTGCTGCTTAAATTGCTCAAGAGAAACAAATACAGGAAGCTTCCCAATTAATTTAACAATGCTTAGGAGATTCTCATGAACAGTATTAGACCAATGAAAGGAAAAAAGAAAGAGAGGAAAATAGGGCCCAATATTCCTTATGAATATGGAAGTAAAGATTCTAAATAAAATACCAATTCCAGCAACTCAAATCTAAGCAGTCTATTAACAGAATAATTCACTATAGCCAAAAAAGAGTTACTTTAGGAATGCAGAAATGGTTGATATTAGGAAATTATTTGTCCACTCAGTGTTTGTCTAACCAAAGCATAACAACGTATGAGGGACATGTGAGGAATAAGCGCTTGTTACCTGGCTATAGGAAGCATTCCGTTCCCATTAGGTATTCTTATTCCTTCTTCTTACTCATCTTCTCCAATGGACATGGATTATTATTGGCTTGGGAGGATGATCCAAAGATAGATGGTCTGGGAGAAGTGAAAGAAGTTCCCAAGAGCTGGAATGTGGAGTGTGTGTATACATGTGCATAGTACGTGTGAATGTGTGTAAGGTTGAATGGTCATGCTGGGAAGATTTTTAAAAAAGGCAAAATCATGTATAAACTCTGTCTAGGAACTTAGATTTTAATCCTGTGAGCAAATAGGAGAGGTCCTGAAAGGAGACCGTCATGACCAGACTTGCACTGTGGGATGAATACTGCCTAGAGTAAGGAGGATGGCTGGAAGGGAAGGCCAAGCCAGCAAGCAGCCGGCAGATGAGTCAGGAGGCTGCCTTGATGAGTCAGGTGACTGTCATATATTATGAATGGCGCCTCAAGAGCTGTGCTAGCCAATGGCCCTGATGGGAACTGGAACCAGGGTGCCTGGCACTGAGGATAGAGAAAAATGGGGAGAAAATTCCAAAATACCCAGGGAAAACGGACATTAAGAAAGAGCCGAAAATACCAACAATGAGAGAGGGATTTAATCCAATGAAATGTAAACAATGGTACTCTTTCAAAACGACTTAAATAAAGATTCTCAGAAGATAAAGAATAGCATCTACAAAAGGGATAATAAATTATGATACAATGAATGAATAGATATGAATCAAGAATGGATATACGGGTATGAAAAGGAAACAATTTCAATTATTGGAAATAAAAAAATAGTTGCTGAAGTAAAAACACTTAATACATTGGATACATCCTAGTCTTTTAACAGTCAAAGTGAATCTGTGAATTGGAATTCGTCAAGAAAGTCGACAAGAGCACAGTCCAGATATAGTGATAAAGTATATGAAAAAGAAGATAAATGGATACTGGGCCGAGAGGCCCCAGCATGTGTCTCAAAGGAGTTCCAGAGGAAAAGCGTGGAGAAGCCAGTGGAGAAGAGCTATCCGAAGAGAGAATGGCTGAGAATACTTCAGAACTGAAGAACGAAAGCACACCTGTGGTGCTGGACAAGATTTTAAAACAAAACAACCCTTTTGGACACATTGCAGTGAGATAGGAGGACATCGTAGATGAAGAGAAGCCCTGGTGCATGCGGCTGAGTGGGTTGGGAGTTGAAAGGTTGCTCATTCCATTCCTGGTCAGGGCACCTACCTGGCTGTGGGCTCGCTCCCGGGAGAGGCCATGCAGGAGGCAGCTGATCCATGTTTCTCTCTGACATCGATGTTTTTCTCTCTCTAGCCCGCTACCTTCCTCTCTCTCTCTAAAAAAACAACAAAATACAAAAAAACACCAACAAAAAGAGAACATTTTAAAGCGACCTAAGAACAAGGACATTATCTGTGAAGTGATGGCAGCCAGGCTGAGAGCAGACTTCTCATCGCCACGGCACAGTTTCTTGTCAGCAATGGGACGATATTTTGAAAATATTGAAGGAAAGAAAGAAAGAATCCTTTTAACCTAAAATTCTATACCCAGAGAAACTATTCGCAAAGACAAAATAAGACTGTTTTTAGACATAAGGAAAATGAAGGGAGTGGTGTACTACTTACACACTCTCCCTGAAAGAACTACTAAAGGGTGTGCATCAGCCAGAAGAAAAGAGAAACCAAAAGAAAAAATTATAAAGTGACAAGAAATAGGCAAACTACGCTGATAAGATTAATTACTGATTGGAAAAAAAGAAGTCATTTATTTGTGTGTGTTTAAAGAGGCTTGAGCTAAATTTATAAACAAAAGTAGAAGGGCAATGGGATGAGAAGGGTTCAGTAGTTACTGTTTACCCTTCTCAAGAGAGAGGTATCAAATAAGTTTAGAGTTTGTTGGGCAAGTATATAAATATGTGTATTAGAAGTTATAGAAATACAATCTATAGCAGAGTGACAGAAAGTATTTAAAAAACTCTATTAAACTGAAGACAGGAAAGGAGAAAAAAAGTGAAAAAAAAAACCATCATAAAACATAGGGTAATAGAAAACACCAGATAATAAAAGTCGAAATACATTAGTAATCACAATAAGTATAAATAGTTTAAAATAGCCTATGGAAATACCAGATGGGACCAAAAACACAGCTATATTCTGCTTGTAAAAGACATACCTAAAGAAAAACAATGCGAAAAGATTTAAGATGAAGAAATGGAAAAAGATATGCTGGGAAAATACCGAGAAAGGATGGCATAACAATATTAATATCAGACAAAATAGAATTCCAGGAAAAAAGCATTAGTAGGGCAAGAGGAGCACTCCTTGGTAACTTGGGAGCACCTCTTCCCACTCTTGATGTTTCCTGTGGTGTGGAGGGAGCACTTGGTACAACACCGCTGGCTCTCTCCGCCCTCTCTGTTACGTGCATTTGGGAGCAAGAACTGGACACATGCAGCTGTGTTCTTCCCCTTTCCCTCTTGGAGCTAGCTGCCATCAGGGCTTCCCTCTGCGCCCCCTGGACTGCAAGTCCCCCCTGACCAGACCCCACGCGAGGAGGCTTGCCCCTGCCCAGCACTGGCTGTGACTGGGTGGGTAATTCTGGAGTTCAGTTAGAAGATTCATTTCATCTTCACGCTAACCTGCGTGCCTCCTCTTGGCCTTTATCAGTAACAAAGGAGTTATTTTGACTCCAAATGCCTTACTCTTCGTTTTTTGTTTGTTTCTGAATGTGTTCATAACCGGGGCAAGGAAAGATGCCCTTTACGGGAGCCTCGGAGTCCTCAGCCTACGTGATGATAAAGAGAACAGTCCACCCAGAAGATCTAACAGTCCGGAACGTGTAGACCCGTACTTAGTAACATAGTCCTGAATTTAAAAAGCCCCAAACTGTTACGAATATAAGGAGAAGTAGACAAATCCTCGGTTATGATGGGAGATTTCAGTAACATCTCTCATATACCGATGGACAAGCAGACAAAAAATTGTGAGGATATAGAAGATTTAAACAATACAATGAACAAATTTGATCTAGTAACATACTTCCCTGAACTCAACAAAAGAAAAATGTACATTATTTTCAAATCCATATAAAACATGAAAAAAAAGTCCATGAATTAAGTCAATACATTTCAAATAATATCATACAGATTATGTTCCATGAATATAAAAAATTTAGAAATCAACAATTAGAATACTGAAGGAAAAAAAGTCATACATTTGGAGAGTTAAGGAAAAATCCTTTTAAATAACTCATGGGCTAAAGGGGAAATCACAAAAGAACTGACAAAATATTTAGCCCTAAATGACAATGAAAATACTACTTATCAATGTGTGGGATGCAAAAAAAAAAAAAAAAAAAAAAAAAGTAGAGAAAAATGTATAGTTTTAAATGCATTCATGAAAACGAAGAAAGATTAAATGTGTAAGTGTGTGGGTCAAGAAGTTAGAAAAAGAATAGAAAAAAAAAACCCCAAAGAAAACAGAAGGAAGGAAATAGAGAAAAGAACAAGCTAGCAAAGTAGCAAAGATAACAAAGAAATAGAGACAATCAATAAAACTGAAAGCTATCTACCTAAAAAGATGAATAGATAACCCCCTAGGGAGGGCTGAGGAAGGAAAACAGAAAATACACAGATGGTATTACAGCCATGAAGGAAGGGACTCAACTGCAAATAGAGACGAAGGGCTAAGAGAACCCCAAACAACTTTATACCAATGCATTTGATGATAATTTTACAGAAAAATATAAATGACCAAAATTGATCCAATAAGGAATGGAAAACCTAAATATTCACCATTAAATAATGGAATTGGTCGCCCAGCGATCCTCCCACGATAAAAGAGGCCCAGAGATTTCACAGATGATTTCTAGCAAACCTTTAAGAATCAGGAAATCCCTGTGGTATACAAACTCCTTCACACGATGAGAAGCTCTCCATCAACTTTATGAGGCTGGAATAACACCCTGATATCAAAACCTGACAAGGGAAGCACAAGAAAAAAAAAATAGGCCAGTGTTGCTATTGAACATAGAGGTGAAACTCTAAATAAAACATTAGCAAATTAAATTTAGCTTGATATGAAAAAAATATTATGTACACAAGTGGAATTTTACCCTTGGAATGAAAAGATGGCTCAACAGAAATGTAATCCACTAGGTTTTACAGATTAAAAGCCCTATAATTATCTCAGCAGATGCAGAAAAGCATTCAGTAGAATTCAACACACTCATAATGTGCTAAATGAATTGGGAACAGGATAAATTTAGAGTCTTATGGTAAATCCCTTTATAAAGCAACTTTCATCCCATTTATATTTTGAGTAAATCCAGATTTTCAAATATTAGTTTCTTTTTATAAAGGTTTAGTTGCGTGTCAGAACCTAAATATATATATAGAAGCTGTGCCCAGTGCTCTGGGAGAACACAAAAAACCCACAAAGAGACCAAAAAAATCATGGGGAACTTGAAGGTGACGATTTGGCTTTTTCCCATATTTTGGTTTTGGGCAGCTTTACCAGGCAGGTCCTTTAAGTGTCGTCCCCCCCCCCACTCCCCACCCCGTGAGGTACCTACACAGCATTTCATTTTCCCACCACTTGAGTGTGGTGCCCATCGCGTGGGTTGGGTGGAATGAGGCAGATCTGACCTGGGGAGACATGAAGCAAGTGTCCCTGCCCTGAGGTCTGGCGTGATCTCAGCCACCTTCCTCATTGACTCCTCGGCTGGGGGCACGTCTCCTTTTGCAGGTCCAAAGTGAAGACAGTGCATGAACGGATCCCCTTGGCGGGCCTGAGCAAGCTGCCCAGCATCCCTCAGATTGCCAAGGTAAGGCCAAGCCCCGAGAGAAGGCGGCTTCCTCTTCTAGCCCAGGGCTGGCCTCTGGGTGGGGGTGCAGGCTTGTCCCTTGGGGCGGGGAAGGCCACTGTACTCTTTGGCCCTTGACTGCATGGATGGGGTTGGCAAGCGGGGGGTCGGGGGGTAGTGGGGGTGGTGGTGGTGGTGGTGCAGACACCTCTGTCTTCCCGACACCCTCCCTATCTCACCCTCAGTATAATCCGGGGAGTTCACAGCTAGTTCAGGAGACAGGAGACATGGAAAGGGAGGGCTGGGTATGGAGAGTAGCCCTTCAGAGGAGGAAGAGGAGGGAGCGGTGGCCAGGGAGCCTGCACAGCAGAGGAGAGTTGGGCTGTTGATGCAAATGGAGGAGCCCTCAGGCAGGAGCCACCAGCTGGCGGGTGGGGAGGGAGGGGTTGGGGGGGACGGAGGAGGCAATTGGCCAGTGGGAAGAGAAGGATGGTCAGCTGGATCCGCACTTAGGGAGCGGGAATGCTGGGGGGAATTGTGCCCAGTGCCTGCGGTGGCCTCACTCCATGAGGAACCCAGGAAGTTAGTTGACTTCCCTGGCCAATGGATAGTGAGCAGCAGAGCCCGGGTCCAACGCCAGGCATCCCGACACCGCAGGCCCTGGCCTCCCGTGCGCTTTCCCCAGTGGGCAGGGGAGCCCAGATGCTCTCCAGATGTGGTTCCTGAA